CCCGAGCCCGTATATGACGTGCCCGAGAAGTATAAGCCCGAGCCTCGGGGCGTGACGGTTGCAAGGATGCCCGCTCGGGGCAAACGGAAGGGTGAAGGTCTAACATTAGCTAACTCCTCGAGCGTCGCTTAATTTCTCGACCTAACTAATTTTCTTCTTTATTTGCAGCCATGGCAGAGTTCGGAGATGATGACGCCTCTCTTCCCCCGCCCGTCAAGATCTCACTGGGCGGCAAGAAGAAACCAAAGGCCAAGCCGGCCGGGCATAAGGAGGTCCCCACAGCCCGACCCATCGGGGCCTCGACCATCACGACGGCCGAGGGCTTCGTGGTCGAACCGGCCGATGTCTTGGTCACCCGGGTGGAGGTCGCCCGGGGAAAGGACAAAGTGCCCGAAAAGGGCGTGACCGAGGTTGGCGGCATGAAACGCCGCAGGGAGCAGCGTAGCCCGAGCCCTTCAACCGGGGGAAGCAAGGACGAGTCGTCCATACTGGCCCGTATCGGCAACGCCGGGCCAGTCAGAGAAGATCTGGGGAAGATGACCCCAACTCAGGTGGCCGAAAGGATCGGCCACGACCTGGCCGAGGTTAGCACCTTGTTCTTTTAATTTTTCACACAAGTGTTTCTGACCGGGCTAACTCTGATCGACTTTTGCATTGCAGATTTCCCGAGCGGCCCAACTTCTGCAAGGTCGGGCCATGCTGGCCGAGGAAGCCGACCGCCACAAGAAGACGGCCGCCCGACGCCTTCAAGAAGTCAAAGACATCCAGGCCGAGCTGGAGAAGGTCCAGAAGGACCTGAAGAAGAGCGAGGAGGATCGGGTCCTGGCGGAAAAGGTCGCCCAACGGGCGATCGGGGAAAATACAGAGTTGAAGGCCCGGTTGGAGAACCCGGACGAGCTGGCCCAGTCGGCTTTCAAGGACGACAAAATGGGCTCGGCATTCCTCACGGCCGCCCGACGGACGAAGATCGGGGAGGACCTGATCATATCCTTTGGTCGGTGGGCCTTCAAAGCCGGCCAGAGGAAAATGCTCGAGAGGGCCCAGAAACGACTGGGGCAAGCTCTTGAAGGGGACGACCTCCAGCTTGTTCTGTCTGCACTCCCTCCGGACCTTGCGTACCCCGGTCCTTCTCCTTTCGCCCCAAAGGACAAAGCGGCCGACTCGAGCGGGCCTACGGCGGCTGTCCCGAGCGGGGCGGAGGCTTCCAAGAAGGGCGAGGCCAAGGAAGTGAAGAAGTAAAAATAGGTTTTAAAAATAGGTTGTCCCGAGCGGGGCGGAGGCTTCCAAGAAGTGACGCTGATCGGGAGCCCGGTCCCGAGTTTGTACCGGGCACTCTCTTTGAAATTTCAATGAAATCCGTTTTTTGTCTAAGTTGTGTTGTTCGTTTCTTTTCCTTCTTATTCACACTTCTATTTCTAGTTAATGCGTGCGCCGACCCTTAGCACTCGACCTTACGGCCTATTAGCCCGGTCCTGCACCAGTCGACATGTTCGACACCCGACCTTGTGGCCTTAAGGCCCGGTCGTGCATCTGAGATTTCGACGATTAGCTGACCTACTCGATCGGGTTTACCCGATCTCTAGGCCTTGTCGAAATTTTGAAAATGGATAAGCCTCCACGGTCGGGGTTTTCCCGAGCGACGGGCCTAATAATTTTGAAAATGGATAGGCCTCCACGGTCGGGGTTTTCCCGAGCGACGGGCCTAATAATTTTGAAAATGGATAAGCCTCCACGATCGGGGTTTTCCCAAGCGGACGGGCCTAATTCCCTTCATCCCAGCCCCCACACTATTGTGCCCTCGAGGCACGAGTGGGTACGATAGTGGAAAGAAGTTGGACGGATCGGGGAATTATGCTGGGAGCTCTGGCTTTCCCGATCGGTGGCGTGACCCAATTGTCCGCCGTGGAGGAGCGCATTGGACCGTTCGACTGACTCGCCCGGTCGATGTGACTTGGTAATGAAATGTCCTGCATGCAATGAAGGTAAAGAAAATAACCGACCGGGCCGCCGTATGCAAACGGTCGAGCAATTACCGATCGTATATACATTGAATCTTCCCGCTCGCAGGCGGTTGAATAAATATTTGCAATAGTGAATTTAATTTACAAACGACGACCGGGACTGACTCGCAGGTCGAGCCCTCACTTCGTCCAAAAATTACAAAAAATAGGCTAATGCCTAAACATGACGAGGTGCTCGGAATTCCAAGTCCCCTCGATTACCCGACCGGTTGTCGTCTCTAGTCGGTATGTCCCCGGTCGTACGACCGCGCTAATGACATACGGTCCTTCCCAGTTTTGAGCTAGCTTCCTGCCTTCCAAAGGTTGACTGGCCTCCCTTCGTCGTAAGACGTAATCTCCCACCTGAAAATAACGAGAGTTGACCCGGGTGTCCTTTGAACTTTTAATGCGCTTCTGATATTCGGCCATACGCCGAGCGGCTAGCTCTCTCTTCTCTTCGACCCCACCGAGATCCACGATCATCGCGTGTTCGTTCTCCTCCGCGTTGTAAGTTCTTTCTCGATCGGTCGGGATCCAAGCCTCGATCGGGAGTCGGGCTTCTGCTCCATAAACCAAGGCGAAAGGGGTCTCCAAAGTAGCCTCCCTCGGGGTCGTCCGATAAGTCCACAATACATATGGCAATTCATCGGCCGAACTACGACCAGCCGAGTGCAGCTTCTTTTTCAGACCTTCCAAAATCGTCCGGTTGGCATTCTCTACTTGTCCATTTCCCTGCGGGTAAGCCACCGACGATCGGACGTGGGTTGTTCCGATCGTGGCCAAGAAGTTTTGGAAATACTGGCTTACAAATTGGCGGCCGTTGTCGCTGATGAGATGCACAGGCACGCCAAAGCGGGAAATCACATTGCGCTAAAGGAACCGAGCACACTGCTGAGAGGTGATCGTGGCCAACGACTCGGCTTCTATCCACTTGGAGAAGTAATCAATAGCGACAATCACGAACTTTCTCCGACCGGAGAGTTGAGGGAAGGGACCCAAAATGTCTACCGCCCACCTAGCAAAGGGAATTGCAGTCATGACTGGCTGATAGAAGGTTGCCGGTCGTCCAGGCATCCGGGCAAACAGTTGGCACGTCTCACATTCCCGAGCTAACTTTTCACAGTCTAGCTGGAGGGACGGCCAATAGTACCCGATCAGCATGATACGACAGGCTAATGATCGGCCTCCTTGGTGTGAAGAACATATACCCGAGTGCAATTCCTTCATGACCAAATCGACCTCAAATGCGGTCAAGCAGCGCATAAGAGGACCTCCATACGATCGCCTATAAAGTCGACCGTCCAAGACTTGGAACCTCGGGGCTCTAAGCTTGGCCTTTCGAGCACGCTGGGGGTCGTCCGGGAGTCGACCGTGCTCGAGGAATTCCTTCAGATCGGTGATCCAATTGTCTTCTACCGGTTGGATTGGATTGACCGGCAGGCGATGGATGCTGTGTCTCGGGATCACCAGAATCCGAGCTATCTTCGACATGTGTTCCGGGGCGTCTTGAGCCAATTTGGACAAGATGTCCGCATCGGCATTATCCAATCGGGGTATGTGCCGGACGGTATACCCCCGGAACTGAGCAAGCTTCTCCATGGCTAGGTCTCGGTATAATTGAAGACGTTCTCCATTGACTTCATAGTCTCCGAGAACCTGCCCGACCACGAGCGCGGAGTCTGTTTGAGCTCGAATGTATTCAGCCCCCAAGTCTCGAGCACACTGTAAGCCATTAATGAAGGCTTCGTACTCGGCTTCATTGTTGGTTGGATGGAACTGATACATGAGGGCGAAGTAGACTTTGAATCCCTCCGGGCTCGTGACCACCACTCCTTCTCCTGCTCCTTTCTTGCTACTCGACCCGTCAGTAGCCGGCGACCACCACTCAGCCTCGGGATCCGCAACCTCGGGAGGTCGGGTATCCCGGGCGGTGCACTCAACCAAGAAATCAGCAAGGGCTTGACCTTTGATGGCTGGTCTCGGTCGGTATTCGATCGCGTACTGGGTCAGGATCAACGCCCACTTGACTAGGCGACCGGATGATGAAGCAGTTCGAAGGACTGGCCCGATCGGCTGATCGGTCAACACGCGAATTGCTCGACCCTGGAAGTAGGGAGCCAGCTTCTTCGCTGCGATGTATAAGGCGTAGACGAGACGGCGCCAAAATGATACTGCTAATTGCCACGTACGCAGTAATTAAATAAATACGAGACCAATTAAAGCAAGTAAATGACTTTTATTGATCACGGTGAAGGCCCTAAGTACAATCTACTTGGTTGCTTTGAGTGCCGACTGACTGCGGTCGGGATTCTCTAACAACAACCTATCGATCGTCCAAAAGTCCCTCACACTGTAGCTATCGCGGGTATTTATAGTCGCGGCGCCGAAGACACAAATCCGGCCGTTCGGCATGCTTCCCACGTAGCCACCACGTGTCGCCGTCCCGGGTGCCCTGCCTGTCAGCGTGTGGAGCCGCCACGTGTCTCTTGTCAGCTCTCTCGCCAAAGGGCTACCACTCGGTGGTCGACACATCCGCTCGGGCAACTCCCGGTCGAGATTCGACCGGGTTCTTCACAAGAAGCCCGACCTGTTACTTGCAAAGACAAGAAGACAAAAACAAAGGCACACCAACCGGGGTAAAGTTATGTCGGTCGGGATATTCCCTACCAATAATCTGTGAACTAAAATTCCAGAATGAATGAACAATATATTGTTGTTGCTGGGAATCGAACCTGAATTTTTTTAAAGGGGAGATGCGCGTTTTTTAATAAAACGACGTCGTTTTGGCATCCGTATGCACCATGCATGGTGCATACGGATGCACAGCATAACGATTGATAAGAGATAAGAGATTGGAAATGGGCTCCATATTTGTGGGCTAAGGCTAGCCCAAGGACTAATAGGAAACCTGAATGGAATAATTTCATAAAATTAAAAATTAAGTCCCAATTGTTATACTAATTGTATAACCGCCCCACATAAGAGTTGCAGAAACCTCATTTCTGCCCTACATTTCTAATCCATCCATCCATTTCTAAACCCAACCCACCATGGCTGCCTCTGCAACCTCTCTCTCCGCCTTCTCTTCTCTCTCCCTCCGCAACCACCCGCCCACGCGCCTCCGCTCTCACCCCACCGCTCCCTTTTTCTTACTCACCCCCAAACCCTCCAGCTTTTCTCTCTTCTTCCCCGCCAACACCTCTAAGCTCACGCCCATTAACGCCGGCTCCTCCGACATTGAGACCACTTTCTTCGACAACGTAGACCCGGATCAAGTTTTCACCTTTGACCCTCCAGCCCGACCGGAAGGCTATGTTCCGCCGCCCTACTTCGATGAAGCCGCGGAGGAATCTGAGGAGGACATTGCCCGGGCCTATGAGGAGCTCTACGGACCCGCCTACAGTGGGGAGAGCTTACTGGGGAATGATTTGTATGTTATGGACTCTAAGGTGAAGAAGACAATTGGGTTTGGGTCGGCTGCCAAGAAAGATAGGCCCAAAGATGGGTTTGATGAGAGAGTGGTGCAGGTGAGGCGTGTGACCAAGGTGGTTAAGGGTGGTAAACAACTGCATTTCAGAGCTGTTGTGGTTGTGGGTGACAAGAAGGGTCAAGTTGGTGTGGGTGTTGGCAAGGCAAAAGAAGTGATTTCTGCTGTTCAGAAATCTGCTTTGAATGCTAGGAGGAATATCATCACTGTGCCCATGACTAAATATTCCACCTTCCCTCACAGGTAATTCATAATTGTAGTGTCTGTTTTTGGTTTAATCTGTTTTGTGAGCTTAGCTAGCATTCATTGTTGAATGAGAATGGTAGTTTTTGCCTTATTGATTTGCTGGTGATTGAGTTATAATCTGTTGAAAAGTGTGAAACTTGGGGATGAAGCACACTTTTGAAGAATTGAATTTTGGGTTGTGTTGCCTTGATGATAAAAAGCTTTTATTCTGGAACTAAGCATGCTGTTGTGGATTTGAATCTTGATGCTTGAACAAGCTTTAGAAATGGCTAAATATAAACAAGACTTGAGAAAGAAAATTTGAAACACAAATTGAAAGGGCTCCTCATACCTCAATTGGTGTCCTCTATTTTTGAGTAAACAAGCACTACTAACTGGTGTTGTGGTGTCTATCTCTGTATATAATTCACTCAGTTTGAAGTTTGAGATAATGCTGGAGTTGACTTAGTGGTTTGGTTCTCAGTGCATTCTGTTCGGGGTGTATTTTATTTCCTTTTGTGCTCTCTTAATGACTGAACTTGTAGTGATTGTGGCACTATGAATTCATAACCCTCATTTGCCATGACTTGTAGATTGAAGTCCATTTGCTTGTTAATGCGGTTCTGGGAGAATTTTATCTGATGACCCATTACTTGCTAGGTTTTGGGGGTGTTCGGTAAATAGCTGTCAGCTGATTGGGTTAGTGGGTTTGACTAGTTGATAACATTAGCTATTTGTAGAAAAGTGTTTGGTAAATTAGCTGTTTGCTGATAGTTGATGTAAAATGACTTTCTCAAAAAGCTGATCGGAAAAACTGATTTGAACAGCTTTTTGAATTTTACCCGTTTGGAACAATAAGTTGTTACAAAAAGCTAATTAATCAAACATTCATATTGATTTTTTAACCAAGTCAAACAGCTAATAGTGGGCAAAATAAGTCAAAATTGACTGATAAGCTAACTATGTTACCAAACAGGGCCTTTATAATGTTGAAGGAAATTGATAATAGGATTTTTAAAGTAGGCCTCGTGCCCTAGCTACTACCTTCTGTGAGAAGAAACACCACCGACCCATAAATGTGCTTGACCAAATTTGATGGAGTGTGGATTGTTGTGATGATTTCTTAGGGAGGGATGGGGGAAGATGCTTGCATAATGAACATACGTAAACAATTGCCAATCAATTTAGGTTATCATCCAATTTTTATGAATAATTAATTGACAGATCTGAAGCAAAGTATGGAGCGGCAAAGGTGATGCTTAGGCCTGCTTCTCCAGGTAGCGGTGTGATTGCTGGTGGTGCCGTAAGGGTTGTTTTAGAATTGGCGGGACTTCAGAACGCTTTGGGAAAACAGCTCGGGAGTAACAATGCACTGAACAATGCAAGAGCCACCGTGGAAGCGATACTGCAAATGAGACAATTCAGAGAGGTTGCAGAGGAGCGCGGCATTCCAATGGAAGAACTGTGGAAATAGAGATCTACAACTTTCTTTTAAAAATTAAAGTCTTTGTAGAAATTGTTTTGTAAAACACTGATCATTGGCAATTACTATTTTTTGATTTCTGCAGAAATGATAATTTTTTAAATTGATATGTAAATTAATTGTTGATCAAGAAACTCAATAACTTCATGACTTGGAACCTCAGAGGCAACAAGCAAAGAAAATGGTAAGAATTCCACTCTGATGCTTGAAACTTGAAAGGTAAGATTATTGATATCAATTTCCAATATAGTTGAGCTGTGCCTTTGCACATTTTTCTACTGTTAGAGGTGATTCTTGGGACACCATTACTGCACAACTGGTGTTTGGATATGGTCCTATGGAGGATACCATCTTTATATATGTAATAATTGATGGAATTAATTAAACCGGGGTTTGACTTAATTAACCCGAATAAATGTAACAAGTATATAATTGAACGATTATAAGGGTACGAATATAGTCACGGGGACTGATATTGTATTAATTGTGTATAAAGTGCTATTACAGAGGTGTAATGCTATTACAAGTAGTAGTTTAGGACAAAAGGTAGAAGGTGTCCCCTTAATAGGACAAACACATGCCTATTTATACAAAATAACCCTAACTAACTCGCTAATTGCACGATGGGCCAAAAGACTAAGTTAAGGCCCATGCGGTGGGCCGTGAGACTAAGTCAAGGCCCATCATTCTCAGCCCGTAGGCAGGCTCCGGGCTTGAGAGTCTTCTTGGGCTGCTCGTGTAACATCCTGGACCCCGGGTCTCTATTATTATTGGGCCATTTTCAATATATCCATCATCAGTCCCCCACTCTCTGAGTTGCGAGTTGTCGACAACGAGAGAGAGTAAACGTTTGGCCCAATTGAAACTGCTCGGGACTCCATGCTTGGATGAATGCTTCAGGGTCAACTTGAAAAAATATTTCGCTTATTCCAACACCTTTTAAGCTTTTAGCTTCGCACTTTAATCCGTGATTCGAGTCCTCTCCGTTCGAGAGCGGACTGTCTAGACGACGCATGGTCGTTTATTAGATTCTTGCTCGCGTTATTTTGCTTTGTTTTTTTTTTTTTTACGTAGTATGTAGTTATTTGGCCAAGGGTACTCTTGGTCCAAAAACTCTTCCGTTGGGGTTGGTACGCGAGGTCGGACCTCGTGCCCCTTAGGGTACGTTAGCCGCTTAGGCCTAGTCCTGCTGGACTAAGCCACCGAGCTCTTCCGTTGGGGTTGGTACGCGAGGTTGGACCTCGTGCCCCCTTAGGGTGCGCTACCGGCATGAGCCAAGTCCTGCCGGACTAAGTCATCGGATTCTCCCGTCGGGGTTGGTACGCGAGGTTGGACCTCGTGCCCCCTTAGGGTGCGCAAGCCGCTTGGGCCGAGTCCTGCCGGACTAAGCCACCGAGCTCTTCCGTCGGGGTTGGTACGCGAGGTCGGACCTCGTGCCCCCTTAGGGTGCGCAAGCCGCTTGGGCCGAGTCCTGCCGGACTAAGCCACCGAGCTCTTCCGTCGGGGTTAGTACGCGAGGTCAGACCTCGTGCCCCCCTTAGGGTGATAGTGCTTTTGACCCGAGTCATTTGACACTGGGCCGTTAGGCTCTTCCGTCGGGGTTGGTACGCAAGGTCAGACCTTGTGCCCCCTTAGGGTGATAGCGCTTTGACCCGAGTCATTTGACATTGGGTCGTTAGGCTCTTCCATCGAGGTTGCTAGCGGGATCGGATCCCGTGCCTGCCCTTAGGGAATAGAGCGAGCAAGCTCGAACAAATTGGATGACAACGAAACTAAATAAAATGCTAAGATGATCCGCACCCCTTAATTTGCATGACAACGTCAAGATCCCCAAATCTATATTATGAGACCACTAACTCAACTCCAAATCTCCAAATAAATAATATAGTTGGAGTTCCCCACATGGCATAGCAGTCCGTCAATTAACATAATTGGATTATTCAAGAAACTTAGGTAACATTATATATACATACCCATATGTTGGAAATGCGTGCATGCATGCATACATATATGTTGTTCCATCTCCTTTGTTGCTGGCATGAAAAGCATTCCTTCTGAATCAATTTATGGAGCATTTAAATGAACTAGCTCACAAAGAATATTTGGCTTTGCATTGTGAATGGGCAAAGGACAGCACTATGATTAATTTCGTGGCCCCTAGTATATCAGAACCTCCCAGATTGAGAAACTAAGACCTGCAATGCTATTTGCCGTTCCCTGCAGCACAGCCTTCTCATCTGTAACCTCAGCAGCGGAACGATTTTCATTTATTCAAGAACAGATTTACCCATCTCATCGACGCGTTCACCCGGAAGATATCGAATAACAATAAAAAACAAGAACATTGCCATTCTGGGCATGTGTTCCTTGATCTTGGTAGCCATGGCGGCGGCTGCTGCGATCGGCAACCAAGAATCCAGTGAAGCCACCGGCGACGGTATTACTACGTCCCGGAAAGAAAGCCATGTAAACAGATTGCCAACTCACAAACAAAATTAGTATTTGTATCAACAGTCTCTCTAAATCAAATGCTGCGAATTCAACAGTACAGAAATTAAAAAGAGCTCCTTCAAGCCGCTTTCAACGTCGACCTTTATGACATTCAGCATTCCTTGTATAATCCTAGCATTTTGAACGATCTCCGATCGAGATGATAAGTGGGCGGAGAGCGGCGAGTGTTCTAAGGGTGCAAAGCTGCACACGCGTCTCTTCCCCGGTTCAAGTCAGCTTCAAGAGCGACAACATATTCTTCTTGCTTAACCATGAGCTAGTTCTGATCTTGAGCCTCGCTACAAACTCCTCTTCGTCCGATCCAGAGAATTCGCGTGTAGGGCTTCCAAATCGTACGACGAAGAAGACGAGATGTAGCAGGCCGGTCGCATCGTCAGCGGCAACGAAGTAGTGGGCCCGCCGGCGGGAGCCACCGATTCATTAGAACTCGTCGTCGATACATGACTCGGCATCTGGTCCACCACCGCCTTCAACTCACTCAAGTCCAAAACCTCACAATCGCTTATCACTACCATCACAACGCCACTGAGCATATTTCTCTGATCCATCCATCCTAGGTTTACGGTTCTGAGAATATAACCACGAGTGCACCAGTTCAAAATGGATGGCAGACCTGAGCGGGAGATTCAGGTTCCGACCCATCCAGATTGCAGAACCGGCGTGAAAGACCTTGATGTACAAGCATCAATGTAGTGTCGCTCGAAGGTATTTCCGGATGAGACAATAAAAGTGGTATGTGAAACAATAGCCTCTATCTGGTCTTGCCACTCCCCATTTTTGCAGCCTTAGTTTTTCCCCTACTATCGCCAACGGTGGCCACCGGGATCACCACGACGTAGATCAGATCATCTTCGAATCTGATGACGAGCGCCATGAAGATCGAAGAAACTTACGCGTAGGAATTTCATGCCTCGCACGACCTCAACCATGCATTTTGGAAGGCCGGAAGCTCTGTATCATAGCTCCAACTCCCGTATCACAGGCCATTTAATATGTAATATTTTCACTTTTTATAACCGTATAAGAAGAATCCAAATTCCCATTCGAATCCTCCCTGTTAGCAGCTTCATCTCTAGAGTCCAGATTGTTCTTCTTCAAACGTAGCCATCACCTCCATGTTGCTTGCGATGGCAGTTGGCAAGTCCGAATCTGATGGTTCCAATGGATTACTAACTTCCATGAACTTGAAAGAGGATGTGTGTCTTCTGCGAGAATTTTGGAGCAGGCTTCGAAAGAGTCAGCTACCATCCAGAGGGTTACTATCGTTGAAGCAAATTCGAAATTAATTGCCGAATCCGTCTACGAAAACAAGCCCGCACCTGCGTTCTACAACCTCCTCTGCCGCCCCTAACCACCATGGAGGAAGACAGCCTCGTCGTTCTCTTCCTCGCGAAAAATCAACCATCGGGCCTTGGTGATCGAACACCGTGATCCAGCTGGTTCCATGGAAACTGATTTAGGATCTATTCCACGCCATGAAATTAAGCAGTCGGCAGCAGACGAAGAGGCTGATTGCCGCCATTATCGCGGAAAAATGTTCAAGGAGGCTTCCCCAATCTTGTCTCTAATGGCGGGTATCCCCGACTTGATCTCGTGCTCGGGGTCGCTGGGATTAGATCTCGGATTGTTTCACACATGTCGGGGAATTTGATCTGAAGAGCTTCTCGTTGGCGACTGCGCCGACGAAGATCGAGATTGCTGAAGAGGTTTGGGAAATCAATAATCAGAGAAGACAGTCTCAGCGAGCTACCCTTAATTTCTCCAAAGAACGAGAATTTTGGAGCAGATTTTCGCTACTCTCACAGTAGTCTCACCCATTTCGTGATCAATTAGCTCCCTCTTGAGAATCTCAACCCGTCTTCGTTAATTTATATCCTCCATGTTGATTTTCTCGTAATCCAATTTTTTCATCTGCCTCATTGAAAAAGCGTTCATTCTCGCAACGAACTCCGGCAGATACAGTTGATAATCCTCTTCTCGCGGTGATCCCTCCATCTCTCAACGATCGCGGTCATCACGCTTGGAATTGATGACGATGGCATGCATTTTTTAATACTAGGCCGGGGAACCGGCGGCAACGTCACCTCACCTGGAAATCTTATAATATGATGCGAAATTCCTCTTCCAAGAACGCCATGGCTTGCTGTAATTAAGACTAAGCTAGTCTGGTTTGGAGACGGGGAGGAAGCTAGCAGACGAAATTGCGAGATGGGGTCAGGAGGAATGCAATGTGGAGATGAAGCCCCTTCGGTTCGATTCCAAATAGGTAATGCCTAATCAGATCGAAACTCGATCCTTCGATGTCAAATCCTTGAATCTAAAATCAATCGCGAATGAACCACCTTCAAAAATTCTGATGAAAAGACAATCTGGAAACGGATGATCTTTGAATAATGCAATGTGCAGTTGTCTATATGTATACACATGCATGCATATATATGATATATCTCTTCTTGCTAAATATTATAGATGGACCCACATACAAAAATTTCAAGCTTTTTAGGCCAAACACCATTGTCACACGTACATATGGATGTCATAAATTTTATACAGACTAGGGCTCTCGAACAGAAGTATGCATTATGGATTTCAAATTGTGTTCCTCCTGATCACAAAAGAAAATGCTCCGGCCGTAAAAAATGTGGCCGTGTCCGGCACTGGTTTTATGGTTGCGGCTGAGAAGGGCTATTGAAATGGGATCTGATCTTGCCATTGTTTGAAGGTTGGTTTTGTAGAAATATGTTGAATAAGGAGAGCGCTCGAGCTTGTACAGCCGCTCTCAACAAGAGCACCAATGATGGAATTAATTAAACCGGGGGTCCGACTTAATTAACTCGAATAAATGTAACAAGTATATATGTTGAGAGCACCAATGATGGAATTAATTAAACCGGGGGTTCGACTTAATTAACTCGAATAAATGTAACAAGTATATAATTGAACGATTAATTGTGTATAAAGTGCTATTACAGAGGTGTAATGCTATCACAAGTAGTAGTTTAGGACAAAAGGTAGAAGGTGTCCCCATAATAGGACAAACACATGCCTATTTATACAAAATAACCCTAACTAACTCGCTAATTGCACGATGGGCTAAAAGACTAAGTTAAGGCCCATGCGGTGGGCCATGAGGCTAAGTCAAGGCCCATCATTCTCGTCCGTAGGCAGGCTCCGAGCTTGAGAGTCTTCTTGGACTGCTCGTGTAACATCCTGGACCCCGAGTCTCTATTATTATTGGGCCATTTCCAATATATCCATCAATAATAAAACCCGTAAATTTGACCAATAAAATTTGTTGTGAATTCTTGCTCAAACCAAAACTATGTCTTTTTGACAATAAAATTCGTGGAAATTATTGCATTTAGTTGTGCAGTGAACTGTTCAATTTTCAAAATTTAATTTAATATTTCAAAAGGAAATTCTATTCACACCCCTCTTTTTACTATTTGCACCACCTACATAATAGGTCAAACTACTTTATAGGTGGTGCTAACTACAAAATGCTATTTACACCGCATTATTTAATGTGATCAAAAGACTAATATTTATTTTATATATATTTTTTATAATTAAATTATTAATTTAAAAAAAAAAAAAAACTTAGCGTCACCTTCTCCGGTGAGAAGGCAGCCCAGTGGGTCGCCTTCTCCGGTGAGAAGGCAACCCACTGGGCTGCCTTCTCACCGGAGAAGGTGACCGGGGAGTTTTTTTTTTTTTTTTTTTTTTTTTTTTTTTTTTTAATGAATTAAATTTTGAATTAATTAATCTCTATATATATTAAAGCAAAATAATAGGAGCAAAAAACTCCCGCTCAACAGCAACGGCGTCGTTTTGGCATAGTCGAAATATTTATGCTATTTGCATCAGAACACGAAAGGTTTGTGCAGTGTAATAGGTAAACTTTATAGAAAACCTACATTTTTAAAAATATCTACGGTAGATCACTCTCTAATCCAATGGGATTAGAGAATGTATTTAATTCCATCACTTCCCCATATGGAACATTGAGCCCACTAACCCATACATATTCTCTAGGTATTAATTTCTAAGGAAATAGTACGAAAGGTCATCAGACCTTATATATACAACACATATACAACACAAAATATTCTACTGTCATTCTCATTCTTCTTCAGACCTTTCGTTATTTCACACAAAAGCTGCACCGGTCACTCTCATTCTTCTTCAGACCTACAAGAAGATGTTTATCCTTGCGAGCCAAATATCCCCAATGAACACCAGGCAGGCTCTTAGGCTACGGGTGGTGAGAGCATATCAGATTCCTGAGAGAAATGATCACACGAAGATTAGATCAAAAGAAATAGTTTTTCATGATGAAGAGGTAAATGCTATTTACAAATATATATATATATATATAGAGAGATACATCAACAGGTTTAAGTCACAGGTTTCAGTTTTTACAGTTCCTATTTATGATATATATTTAGACAGTTCCTATTGATTTTATAGGGTTCCTTCCTTCATGCTCATGTACCCAAAGAATATGTGGAAAAGTACCTAAGCTATTTTTCTGAGGGTTCAGTTTACGCTATAAAGAATTTTTGTGTTATCACCAATTTTTATTCATACAAGACCAGTCCACAAAAGTACATGATAAAATTCAATTATCAGACTATGGTCAAGGATTTAAAGAATGCAAAATTTCCGATGAAAATGTATCGTCTGAAGTCATTTAGAGAGATCAAATCTAATGAAGGCCTTGATGAGAAACAACTCTTTGGTAATCATTTGCTCTCTTATTTTCTAATTTTCTAATTAATTGATATTGTTACTATTAATTTGTACTCTAATAATGCACTATTCTGTAGATGTGATTGGTCGAGTGATTGAGATTCACTGCCCACAAGAGAAACTGATTAATGGGAAGAACTCCAGACTGATTGACTTCACCATTGAAGACACTGAGTATTTTTTTTTATTCGTTTCATTCTATTTCTACTCTATTTTTAGATTTTCTGTTCTTCTAATCTCTTATCTAACATTTTGCAGTGGTATACAATTGATGTGTACTTTGTGGGACGAACACGTAAGCAAGATCGAGGCATTCTACAATTCTACCACACAAGAGGCATTATTGGTGTTGATCCAATTTTTTAGGGCTAGGGTGTGTTTAAAAAGTAAGTAAATTTAAAGTTTTAGTTTCTTGCTAAGTTATATATATATATTTGTCCACATTTACCAATAATGGATTGTCTAATGTTTACTACCATAATTTCTAAAGGTGGGGATGTTAAGCTTTGTAGCTCCTATGATGTAACACAACTGCTGTTCAACCAGGAATCTCCACCATTTGAGGAGTTCAGAAAATGTTAGTCTTTATTGCACTACCTATTAGATTGGTACCTAAGTCTTAGTGTTTTTTTTTTTTTTTTTTTTTTCACAGTATCAGCCATGAACAGACTCTAATGCGAAGTATTATTTCGCAATCAAGTTTTAAGGAATGTAGCTCCTATTCAGTTTCCCTATCTGGTGATATTGAGGTCCGTACTATCAGTGAAATATACAGAGACAAGGAGGTAATATTTATTTAAAACATTTTAGTTATTACCTTAGTAGATATACTATGATCTCTATTACTATAATCTCTGGAGATATCAATGCCAACTGCTTCATTTGTAATCTGCATTTAATAATATGCATGAGATTTGGAAAAAAAATTATTTTAAAAATTAAAAGTTAATAGACTAATACTCTGAAATGTTTTTTGGTTTCTTACCTGATTGAGTAAGTAGATAGTCTTTACTCATGTAGACTAATATTGTGCAGACCATGCTCTGTAGGCATCATTAACCTGCACAATGACAGTTAAAAAAAGAACTTAGCATCCCATTAATACTCATTAAAAGTTAATACAGTAACAAATTAGATAATTAGTTTTTGGGTGCTTAGCTCATTCAGTAAACCAAATGCTTGACTAATAGCTTTGAAATAGCTGTGAGTACGGTTATGCAACTCATATTTTGTTTGTGACCCAAACCTGCACAAACAAGAGATTATTAATTTTAATCATTACCATTGGATCATTACCTATTTGATTAAATATATATGTACTCACTCTATATAGATGACCATTGTTATATGTTTTTCTCATCCATGCTCTGTATTCATCTCAAATATGCACAGTGAGTGCTATCTAACCTGCACATTTAATATTTGCCATTAGTTACAAATATAATAGCACAAAATACAAGAGTTACAAATATAACAACACAGAACACAAGAGTCTCAATATAAGTCATTCACAGTTATTATTTTAACAAATTACAGAGTCTATTTAATTTACTTATCTCAGTTAGTAAATAGCATGAACACATCCCATGACAGTTTTGTTGTTATTATTATCCAACACATACTCTGTGTTTCACCCAAACCTGCATACACAAAATAATCTCTCTTAGTTATATAAACACAGTATGTTTTATTTTGTGTTTGCAAAAATAGATCAAGTGATAGATATTATGCATCTCAAACATTCACAAACACTAAACCCTAAAGTAAACTTAGCCTAATGTACCTTTCTAATTCTGTAAATGTTTACCTTTCTAAATGTGTGTGTGCAGTTTGGTGATTTTTGGGTGGCAGCAAGGATTGTGTTCATTGATGATCCTGAGTGGTACTATGCTTCGTGTAGAACAAAGGCTTGCAACAAAAAGCTGAAAATGAAAGGAAAGTGGCTGTGGTGTAGTACCTGTGACAGGAATTGGGGCGATGGAACCTTGAGGTACAGGGTTAAAGTTAGGGTGGTGGACTTGGATGGGAATGCTCCTTTCCTCCTATGGGACAGGGAGTGCCTTGATCTACTTGGTGTTAGCGCAGATGATTTGAATTCTACCCATACTAAGGTACTAAATGTTGTTTACTATACCAAGTGTTAACTAATATACAAATTGTATAAATTTCCTATGTACACAATCTTTAAAAAATAAATTAATTATTTGCAGGGCCGAAAGGGGATACCTAAGGAGCTTGAGACTCTGATTGGATTGAATCTGCTCTTTCGAATTGCTGTTCGCAAAGAACAATTCCAAAACTACCTCAATGCTTTCCCTGTTATGAGGATCATCACTGATGAAAAGATCGTAGAAAAGCATGCACCAGAGCTAATTGGAGTTAGGGACAGGGATCTAAGTTCAAAGTTGGAGTTGGAGCTTACAGATGAGGATCTATGGGGTCTAGAGGTATAATTGGGTTTACAATTTATACTAATTACTTTATAAATGCAGATTTATAAGTACTTACAGTTTCAACTCTCGATTTTTAAGGAAAATGACCAAGCAAATGAAGCCGAAAGTCCTCTACAAGTTGTTGCACAGAGGCTGAATGCAGAGAACACCTTAGAGAATGGAACAGTCAAGAGATCCCTCATTGATGAATTTTCAAGCACACAAAGTTCTAAAAAAAGCAAGGAAGCTGTGGTCAAAATTGAAAAATAAGCAGATTTGTTATGAGTAGAATGAGTGGGATGTGCTCTATTGAACTTTTTTTTTTGACTTTATGAATGCTTTTATGAGGACACAGTTGTGGTGGATTCAAACATTGGACACTGGGATTATTTTGGTTTTATGAATGCTCCTGATTGAAGATGGTTTTTAAATCATGTTATTTCTAAGGCAATTGTTTTATCCCTTCTGGAAAATGTTTTTGTTTAATTTTTTGTAGGTACTAAAGAGGACTGTTATTCCACATAAACCAGGAGCAGATTTTCTTCAATCACATGATGGAAAAAGACAATGCAGAAGTGATTCAACATGAAACAAAAGAAGTTGAACATAACGTGATGGAAAAAGACAATGCAGATTTGTTGACACAGAAAGCAAAAGAAGATGATCATCACATGAAGGGAAAAGACAATGCCGATTTGATCTCACATAAAGCAAAAGAAGATGAACATCACATGATGGAAAAAGACAAAGCAGATAGTATAGCATACGGATATAGTTTCATCTGTAATTTGTTAATGTAAAACATTACTTCCAAAATTAATCTAATTTTTTTTTTGGTTTTTAGCATGCAGATTAAATTGTGGTTATACATTGTTATTTTAAGTTAAGGTATACAGTTTATTAAGATAAATGTAATCTAAATCTTAGTGATTACATATAATTTTACATGTTCTATTCCTAAAAATTTAAACACTGTAAATATGAACTATTATTTTTTTTATTTAATCCTAAATAAAAGCACTTCCATCACTTCCATCAATATTAATGGCTTAACGTCTTTGTTACTACTAAAACTGTTTTAAGTTTGATCAATTATTAAGACACAATTCATGTTAGAATGGAATCAAAAACACCATTTTGATTAAAAATGTAATATAACTTAATCATATAGTTATTACAATAATCCTAACATAACGAAAAACAAATCACATGAACATCTGCGTAATATTTTCAGTAAACCTGAAATTAGGAACATGAGAACACTAATACTCTATTAAGTAAATAGACAAATTGATTTAAGCATGATCATTATTTCAATAATCCTAACATAACGGAAAAAAAAAAAAAAAAAAAAAAAAAACAGATCACATGGTTATCTGGCTAATATTTTCAGTAAACATGAAATTAGGAACCTGAGAACACTAATACTCTATTAAGTAAATAGACAAATTGATTTAAGTTGAGTTCAGCAAGCATAGTATAATGGATATCAAAATATACATCACAATTCTTACTATTGAATTATAGTGAATGCTAATTTGTCTATTAACACTTATCTTTTTGTATGCAAGTTCAGTTCGAATTGACATCGTGCAGCTTAAGAAGTCATTAGGGCCACAGATATGTTGAAAACAATTTGCAATATAAACTCTCTTCAAAATCCTTGGAACCACCAGAGATTCTGTTGCATCTTGCCTGCATTTTAGTCAACAATTATTAAATTTCCAGCATGTGACATACAAATGTATATATAGAGATAAGCAGGTAATCAGATATACAAAGTTGGTGTCAATACATGGTAAGTGCAAGCATAGTATAATGGATATCAAAATATACATCACAATTCTTACTATTGAATTATAGTGAATGCTAATTTGTCTATTAACACTTATCTTTTTGTATGCAAGTTCAGTTCGAATTGACATCGTGCAGCTTAAGAAGTCATTAGGGCCACAAATATGTTGAAAACAATTTGCAATATAAACTCTCTTCAAAATCCTTGGAACCACCAGAGATTCTGTTGCATCTTGCCTGCATTTTAGTCAACAATTATTAAATTTCCAGCATGTGACATACAAATGTATATATAGAGATAAGCAGGTAATTAGAATGTACATTGTCAGGGACTAATGGCTGATTAGGCACTTACCATGTATTGACACCAACTTTGTATATCTGAAGCCTCCTCAAATGCCTTAAGATGAAAGTACATGTTGTCATACAGATTCCACATGTGATGTCTAGATCAAGGTAGTATAAAAAAATATAAGTTACAAACAATGCAATAATGACAAACTCGGTAACTAACAATCTATATCAAATTAGATTATACACCATTGGGTAGACTTAACACTTATCTTTGAGCCTTGCTAAGCAACTGTAAGTACCAAACTGGATACCATTGGTACTTACTTAGTGAAAACGTGTCACAACATTTTCACAACCACAGGTCTTTTCATATTCAAGATACCTGAAAAATAGCTTAATCAGTACCTTATTATATTTCAAAATAATTTGATTAATCAATGTAATTATGAGAAGGAAAGTGTAATAATATCACTGCATTAAGTAGCACAAATAAAACTTTTAGTATTCGAACTTGATTTATATTCACCATTTTCCAATGTTGTCTACCAATCTTGAATGGGAATGCTCTACTACTATATAATCAACACACAAGTATTCTTATTCTCTCTTAACCACTACCTAAACAAAACTTGAATTTAGCCAATTCAGTGCCAGACGAACACATGAAGAAAATTACAACTTCAACCACAATTGGAGCAAAGCGGAAGCAGAACAACAACAATCCAGGTAATACTAGAAACTGTCAAATTAGTAGAGCATTTTTGTGTTCGAGTATACCCCTAAAAACTAGCTCAAACCATATAAACTATGTGCATGTGTTCTTGACCCCCAAAATTAATGGCATCAATTAAATTACAGTGAATAGATGTGTTGATAAACAAATTTCAGTATACACGAAGATGATTTCTAAAAATTAGTTCTATAAACTGCCATTTTAGATAGATATATAGTCACCATACTTAGATCTGAAAAATTAGAAGAGATAGGGTTAGAAATTGTTACCCAACTTGGTATAAAATCTAGAAATCGTGTAGGAGAACACCCATTTCTGCCTTGGTCCATCGTTGAACATCACACATTACTAACCACCAACCTTCGATCTCCCTCTATCCATGAAAGCCGGCGAAGTATAGGGTTCATATGGCGGTCGATAGACCATGATATCTCTGAATTGGGGTTTTGACTATGGGGTTAACACTCAGATTGGGAGTATTGAACATACTTCACAGTAAGATCATCATCATCGCGAATCCATAGTATAGTTCGGTTAAAAGTTCCTCATCGAACCCTAAACGGGAGTTAAGAACTCCATTTGTGGTGAGAGGACCGAGACTGGGATGGGTGAGATGAGCTTAGATGAGGATGAAGGCTAGGTGTGTAGGAAAGGGAAGGACAACTGTTAACATCACCGTCTCAGGCCATCTGTGATGTTTATGTCATATATATATTAATTATTATTATTATTATTATTATTATTATTATTATTATTATTATTATTATTATTAGCAAGGTACTCAATTGTTTAATTGTTTATGTTTAATTGTTTATTATTATAAGTTTAATTGTTTATGTATTACAAATTCCTATACTCAATTGTTTACTATAATGGTTGGTAATTAATAGTTATTTTAATTACTATTATAGTGTTAGGGAAGAGCGTTATATTATCAGTTTACTATTGTTATTATTTTATTATAATAATACAAATCATTATTATTACTATCATTATACTGATAAATGTTATGTCAATATTTAGGTAATTAAGCTATGATTATATAATAAATTTGTTTTAGTACTTTAACATTATAATAAACATTATACAATATAATAACGTGGTTGTTGACATACTATGATTGAATAATTAAACTTGATCTATGTATGATTAACAAAAATGGTACACCAAATAATAAATGTGTACTGATAACATTGTTTTTTTTGAACAGACAACACTGTCAATGGGGAAACGTACATGCCGTCGTTTGAATCTAACAAGAATACGAAAATTGGTACACCGCTAATTGACGTTTTTCAAAGTTCGTTAAGTACGCCTTTAAGTATTCTTACCAATGGTAAGTGTTTTCATTAGCAACAATTAACTCCATTAATGGAGTTTTGTTAATATTAATTGTCATTGCAATTGACAGGTGACACTGCGGTTCGAACGACAATACGGAATACCCCAATGCCGGATTTTAGTTGCAGAATGCCGTTAAGCAACATATCAAATAGTAATTAGCTAAACCAATATTACAAATAATTTTGTAAAGAAACTATCTAACAATCAAATTGGACAATTAGTATTCTAACGTGTGTGTTTTACCACTGCTCTATAATTATAGCAAATTTGACTCGATCTACCGTGGACCTTGATAAATCGCCGCGGACCAAGCGCCATAATCATTCGTTTGACTTAAATAGATCACCAGGCTCGCACGGTAATGAAGTTGAAATTTAGTATATAACCTATACTCATTTGCGGTAAATGCTACGTCATTATAATCTGTCCTACCTTAATTCACAGCGCCTTCTCCTGGACGAACACCAATACAGACTACGTCATCGCCAGTTTTTAGTAGTAGAATGCCATTAAGTAACATATCAAATAGTAATGATCTCAACAAGTACCCGTGTTATAAGATTAGTATAAATTTATTTTGTAGTCAAATGTAATACTTAATCGTCTAACAAGTCGTTCTACAATTTTTTTGTAATTAAAGCAATTTGCGGTACAGTTAATGGTGACCGCGACAAACCAACTACATCCAATTGTACACATCGTTGCTTCGACCTAAATCGAAGTCCAGATTCGCAATTAGGTATCAATATATTATGAGGAGCAATTGGTTATTGCATAGTCAATATTAAATTAGAATGTAATATATTCTATAATCGTTTCTGTAGGATTTGAAAGTAATTGTTGTGTTACAAATGACAACAACATGCAAATAATCGTGGTAGAGCCAGAGACTGAACCCATCAAGCATTGTCGAAATTTGATATCAGATTTTCACGAAGTTGTTGAACAATTGCATGACAATGTGCCCTCAAAAAATGGTGAGTTCGTATTAAACGATGCCCAACGAAGACATACTATCTTTGGACTAAAATGAACTATATTATTGTTTTTCCCCGTGAACTAATATCACAGTATTTTTTTTTGTAGACTATTATTTTGATAGTGGTGATCCAGAGTATTTGTGCGAGCATTGTAATGCATTTTTTTGGTACAATGAACGGTCTAGCAATTCAAGGTCATGTGACAGGCCTAAATACTCCGGATGTTGTGTGAATGGTAAGATAAAGTTGCCATTGATGACAAGGCCTCCTCAAAAGTTGTTTGATCTATTCTTTACATCAAGTGAGAAAAACAAATGTTTTTTGAAGAATATAAGGTCCTATAACAACATGTTTTGCTTCACGTCAATGGGTGGAAAAATTGATAGAACTATTAACAACGGAACATCACCTCCTATATTCCGTATAAATGGTCAGAATTTCCATCGGATTGGAAGTTTATTGCCTGCTATTGGCACTCAACCAAAATTTGCACAGTTATACATTCACGATACAGAGAATGAGATACAAAATCGATCCAACTTTTTCAGGTATAATAGTCCCTGTTAATCAACTCTTTGGCCTGTCATTTTTTAATGATAATAATCTTATATTATAATCTTATATTATATTTTTTTATTTGTTTAGGACGGAAAACAATGGTTTTGCATTTCATCTTGATGTAGTTCATGACATTAAGCAAGACCTAGATGAGCACAATGTTTTGGTTAAGTCATTCAGAATGGCCAAGTCATTTATGGAATCTAATCCTACAAGTGAAATTAGAATGAGATTAATAGGGAAGAGGTCTAAAGATGCTAGAACGTATGTGCTACCAACTACTTCCGAGGTTGCTGCTCTCATTGTTGGAGATCTAGACCCTGGCATGGGCGAACGTGATATTGTCGTCGAGTCTAGATCGGGGATGCTGAAACGAATAAGTGAATTAAACCCAGCGTATCTACCATTGCAATACCCGCTTTTATTTCCATATGGAGAGGATGGTTTTAGGGAAGACATACATTTTGCAACACATGGTACGAAACAAAATTTTGCAAGAAAGAGTGTTTCACAAAGAGAATACTTCGCGTTCTGTGTTCACGAAAGATCAAATGAGATTTCAACTATAATGTACGCTAAAAGGTTATTCCAACAATTCTTGGTTGATGCGTACACTATGGTTGAATCTTCGAGGTTGCTATATATTCGGTCAAATCAAAAAGCTTTGAGATGTGAGGTGTACAAAGGTCTTTCTGATGCGTTAACACGAGGTGAAGTTCAACCTAGCTCGCAAGGTAAAAGAATAATATTACCTTCAAGTTTCACGGGAGGAGCAAGATACATGATACAGAACTACCAAGACGCCATGGCAATTTGCAGATCTATAGGTTATCCAAATCTGTTTATTACCTTTACATGTAATCCTAAATGGCCGGAGATTCAACGCTTTTTGGAGAAAAGAAATTTGAAAGCTGAAGATCGTCCGGACATTGTTTGCAGAGTTTTTAAGATGAAGCTAGATTGCTTAATAAAAGAAATAAAATATGGCCAACTGTTTGGTCCGGTAAGGGCAGGTGCGCCCCGCATATTCTTATAAATGCTTTTTTATATACATTAATTATCAATAAAAATTTTATAACTCACACAACATAATTCTGTATGCAACAGTGATATACACAATTGAGTTTCAGAAACGCGGTCTTCCACACGCTCACATATTACTGTTCCTACAAGGGACGAGCTGCTTTGCCAATCCTGCTTTTATGGACACGATCATTTCTGCCGAGATCCCAGACAATTTGATTGACGTTGAGTATTACAAAGCTGTCGAAGAATTCATGGTTCACGGTCCGTGTGGTGTTGCCAGGAGCAATTCACCGTGCATGGTAAATGGAAAGTGTTCGAAACATTTTCCAAAAAGATATATTGATGCATCCCATTTTGACCAGGATGGTTACCCGTTGCATCGAAGAAGGGATGATAAGAGGACAATAAAAAAAATGGAATAGATTTGGACAATAGGTATGTTGTACCACATAATCGGTACTTGCTCTTGAAATACAAAGCCCACATTAATGTAGAGTGGTGTAACCAATCTAGGTCAATCAAGTACCTATTCAAGTATGTCAACAAGGGTAACGACCGTGTAACGGCTGAGTTTTATAAGACTGCAATGGATGAAGGTGGTAATGAGATGGTGGATGAAATAAACATGTACTATGACTGTAGGTACATCTCTGCGTGCGAGGCAGCATGGAGGTTGTTTAGTTTTGAAGTTCAGTACAGGACTCCACCAGTTGAGCGACTAAGCTTTCACTTGCCTGACTGCCAATCAGTCGTGTTCCAAGACGATGATACCATTGATCATGTCTTGAACAGAGACACCGTTGGGCAAAGTATGTTTAATGCATGGTTTGTAGCGAACCAGAAGTTTAAAGAAGCGAGCTTATTAACTTACATTGAGATGCCTACCAAATTTGTGTGGAAAAAGGACATCCGTGAATGGCATCCAAGAAAGAAGGGTTTCTCAATTGGTCGGATATTCTATGTACCACCCGCTTCAGGAGAAATTTATTATTTAAGGTGTCTATTGAACATAGTCCGCGGTCCAAAAAGCTTCCAAGATATTAGGACAGTTAATGGTGTTGAGTACTTAACGTTTAGAGATGCATGTTATGCTCATGGATTGTTAGACGATGATAAAGAATACATTGATGCTATAAATGAAGCAAGCTACTGGTCAACTGCATATTCATTAAGGAAGCTATTTGTTGTCTTACTAACATCCTCATCCATTATTAGGCCCGAAAATGTCTGGAATCAAGTGTGGAAACATTTGTCTGAAGATGCTCAACACTACCAAAGAAGAATATTAAATCAACCAGGTAATGTACATTTTGTTTGATACAATAAAATATCTTAAGTTATATCGATAACTATCTGACTGTTGCCATCGTAACAGATTTGGTCTTAACAGAGGAAGAGAAAAAGAACTTTGCATTGTTCGAATTGGAAAACCTATTGGGTCAACAAAATAAGTCTTTAAAAGACTATCCTCCAATGCCAATACCCAGCACTGAACATTCAATGTTGTTTCAGAATAGGCTGGTTTTTGAAGAGTTAAGTTACAATTGCGAGCAGTTGAAAGAAGATGCTGAAGTGCTTTCTGCCAAACTAACCGAAGAACAAAGTGTCATCTATCATACGGTTATAAAAGACATTGCAGACGGTAAAGGTGGTTTATTTTTTGTTTATGGCTACGGTGGAACAGGAAAGACTTTCTTGTGGAGAGCGTTGTCAGCTGCAATCCGATGCAAAGGTCAGATCGTTTTAAATGTGGCATCAAGTGGCATAGCTTCTCTGTTGTTACCAGGTGGCCGAACTGCTCACTCAAGATTTGCAATACCTATTGCAATAAATGAAGACTCAACCTGTAACATTAAACAAGGTAGCGACCTGGCTGAATTGTTGATAAAGACGAGTTTGATAATATGGGATGAAGCTCCCATGATGCACAAACATTGTTTTGAAGCATTAGACCGAACTATGAGGGATTTATTGCGTTTTGTAGACCCGTGTAGTGAATTGAAGACGTTTAGTGGTAAAACTATGGTTTTGGGTGGAGATTTCCGCCAAATTCTCCCGGTAGTTCCAAAAGGTACACGGCAAGATATTGTTTCTTCAGCCATAAATTCATCATACCTATGGGATAGTTGCAAAGTTTTAAGGTTGACACAAAACTTAAGACTAAGTTCGGTACCCAACGGTGGAAATCGGCAGGCATTACAAGAATTTGCCGATTGGATTGCTAATGTCGGTGATGGAAAGTTGGGTGGGCGGAATGATGGTTACGCAGAGGTTGAAATTCCAAAACACATGTTATTGTCATCCGGAGCGGACGATATTAAAACATTTGTGCACAGTACATTTCCTATGTTTGCAAATGGAAACACTGACCCCGAGCATCTGCTAGGTCGTGCTATATTAGCACCAACGCTCGATGTGGTCAATGCAGTAAATGACTATATGACTGAGTTGCATAATGCCGAAAGCAGGTCGTACTTTAGTTCAGACGCAGTTTGCAAAGCCGACGGCGACAACGGTATATTTGGAGATGTACACACACCGGAATTTCTAAATAGCATTAGGGTTTCAGGTCTACCAAATCATACATTGACTTTGAAAATAGGTTCACCGGTAATGTTAATGAGAAATATTGACCATTCTCTTGGTTTGTGCAATGGGACTCGGTTGATAATCACAAAACTAGCAGACCATGTTATTGAAGGCGAGATTCTGTCTGGACCTAACAAAGGTACAAAAGTGTTGATCCCTCGAATGTCAATGTCACCCTCTGATCCAAGATTGCCGTTCAAATTTCAACGAAGGCAATTTCCAATTATGCTTTCATATGCAATGACCATTAACAAAAGTCAAGGACAAACGTTGTCTCATGTTGGTTTAATACTAAAGAAACCGGTTTTTGTACACGGTCAGTTGTACGTAGCTGTATCTCGGGTTAACAATCCTGACGGTCTCAAAATATTGATAGTCAAAGACCCAAGTTCAACTACTACATCAACCACTAATGTTGTATATCATGAAGTTTTTAATAATTTGTAATTTTGTAAAGTTCTCTTTTCTTAGTTCCATGACCTTGCAACTATTTGATCTATTTTCGTACTGTTCTCTTTTCTAGGACTTAATATCCATCTATCCCAATCATATTTCATTTATATGTTATAAATTTTGACTGCATTAGTTCACACAATTTGTAACATAATATACACACAATTAATACTTTTTAATTTACATACCGTGCTGCACGGGTCAAATACTAGTTATTATTTAAATCTAATAAATGTGGTTTGAATAAGGGGGTGCAAATAGCATTTTGACCATCCATTACGCTATTTGCACCACCTATGTATTTATTGTAATTTTCACCTTTTTAAATTTTCAATGTATTTTATACCCCATTTTAGTCAAAAGGAGGTGCAAATAGCAACACCCATTTCAAATTTGTTAGCAATTTTCCATTTTCCCAGGCTCGTAATCGGATATCATCTGTCACATATTCTTCCATTGCTTTCATTGATTCTATTTCTTTTTTTTTTTTCTTTGAAAGGATTGATTCTATTATTATTATTTTTTTTTTTTGAAAATAAAGAAGCTAATTCATTAATTATATGCTGAAACGTTTATAATAAAGATCATTGAAATGGTCAAACATTATTTACAGTGATGCTACAAAAAACTTGATTCGCATTGTTTCACAAATTTGAAGCTGAATTCTTTGGATGAATTTACAACTTCTTTAATGATTTGGCCAAACGTACTCAAGACCAATCGTTATACCCTATACCACGGCGCACATAGCACTGTGCGCCGCGCGCCTCCCAAAACGACGTCGTTTTGGGAGGCGCGGTAGGAAGTTGCTGAGATTATGTGTATTTGTTCACACAGTTATGTGTATTTGTTCATACAGTTATGTGTATTGGTTCATACAGTTATGTACATTTTTTATACAGTTATGTACATTCTTTTTATACAATTATGTACATCCGAATCAGAAAATTTGTGTGTATTATGTTAATAGTTGATGTGTATTATGTTAAAAGTTTATGTTTATTATGTATTATGTTAGATTATATGTATTATCTTTTAAAAAGAGTATGTATATTTTGTTATATAATTATGTACATTCATGTATACAATTATGTGTATTCTAGTATAACATTATGTACATTCTTGAACATCGGATTTTTTTTTAAAAGAAAAAACTACTGGCATTCACTGGGGCGGGAAATTTCAAAAAAAAATAAAATTAAAACGACGTCGTTTTGCATCTGGGCGCATAGTGCAACGCGCACCGTGGTGTAGGATATAAATTGCCACTCAAGACTGACACTAGTTGAATAGTCTTGTACACCACCTAAGTATATATTTCCATTCTTCTATTCATTGACAATATCACCTAAGTATATATATATTTCCATTCTTCTATCCATTGACAATATCTCCATAGAGGAGTCTCTTTTTTATTGTCATGGTTGTCACCCAGGATAAGATTCACATACGCCATGACTAGTTTTTTTTATCGTTTCACGTTTTATGAAAAAGAACTCGCCAAGTAAACGAGAGGAAGAAACTTGTCAAAACAACAAGAAGAAAAACACAGAAACTGCAAACAAAATTAAACCAATAAAACAAAGCAAAGGGAAACAATAGTGTGAAAATAACTTAAATAAGGGAGTAACGACCGGTAGCGATGGAGATGAAGGAGAAAACGGTGAAGACAGAGAAGACAATGAAGGCGGACACTGTCTGCGGTGGAAATAACAGCAGGGGAAGACGATCGGACGCCGCCTCCGATCCGCTTGCTTCACGGAGGCGGCGGCCGTGTAAAATACCAGAGACGATTCTATTTCTATTCCTAAAATTGTTAACGAAGCTTTGTCCCATCCTAGGTGGCAAAATGCCATAATTAAAGAAATGAATGCTTTGGGTCATAACGGTACTTTGGAGTTGGTTGTTATGCCTGCAGGTAAAAGGCCTATTGGTTGTAAACGGCTAAACGAGTGTTTACAGTCAAGGTAAATTCTTATGGATCTGTTGCTCAATTGAAGCCCATCTTGTGGCTAAGGGATATCCCCAAACTTATGGAGTTGATTATTTTGAAACTTTTTCTCATGTGGCTAAGCTTACTTCTGTCAAGTTACTCATTTCAATGCATGTCATTCATGATTGGCCTCTACATCATCTTGATATCAAGAATGTTTTCTTGCATGGAGATTTTCATAAAAAAGTGTACATGGAGCAACCATCTGTGTTTGTTGCTCAGGGGGAGTCGGGAAAAGTATGTCGACTTCATCAATCGCTATATGGGTTTAAACAAGTCCACGTGCATGGTTTGGGAAATTCAGTCAAGCGGTTGAGAGCTTTGAGATGGTGAAAGGTACAATATCATCCACGTAGACCACTAACCAGATGAAATGTGTTTTGGACCACTTGTAAAACATGGAGTGATCAGATTTAGTCATTAAAGGGAGTGACACATAAGGGATTTCATCTCTCAAGTCATTTCTTAATAGTCAATTTCAAACAAAAGATTTGAGACCACTGAAGTACTTCCTGGGGATTGAAGTTATGAGGAGTAAAACAAGTATATTACTATCTCAACGAAAATATGTAATTGACTTACTCTCTGATATAGGAAAATTGGGTACTAAACCATGCAATACTCCCATGATACCAAGCTTGCAACCATCAAAGGAAGGGGAATTGTTTGAAGATCCTAAGAGGTATATGAGATTAGTTGGGAAGCTAAACTACTTGATAGTAACTCGTTTAAATACTGCATTCCCAGGCTAGTGATTGTTTTGAGCCAGTACATGACATCCCCAACTGTTGAGCATTGGGTAGTTGTAGAGCATATCTTGAGTTACTTGAAGGGAGCCCCAGGACATGGAATTCTGTATAAGAATCATGGTTACACTAAGATTGAGTGTTTCACCGATGTTGATTGGACATGATCTAAAGAAGATCGTACATCAACAACCGGATATTGTGTTTTCTTTGGAGGAAATTTGATTTCGTTGAAGAGTAAAAAGCAGCTTGTGGTTTCTCATTCGAGTGCAGGTCTGAATATATAGCAATGACACAAACAACGTGTGAAGTGATGTGGATAAATAATCTCTTGAATGAGTCTGGTTTCAACACTCTGATTCCTGCAAAACTATGGTGTGATAATCAAGTTGTTCTTAATTCATATTGCATCAAATCTGGTATTTCATAAACGAACTAAACACATAAAGATCGACTGCCACCTCGTTCGTGAAAAGATACGACAAGGGTTAATCTCCACTGAATTTGTGAAGACCGGAGAACAACTCGGGGACCCGAGTTAGTTATTTGTGTAATAAGTTGGGCATGATTAATATTTATGCTCTAACTTAAGGAGGAGTGTTAGTAGAATGTTATGTTTTTTTTTTTTTTTTTTTTTTGAAAGGAAGTGTTAGTAGAATGTTAGTTATAAATATTAGTTGAAGAAAACTAGTAGCTGAAGGGGTTGATTATTAGTTGGACTAGAGGCTTAGGCTAATGTAGTGTGTATATAAATAGGTGCATGATTGCATGAATATCCTGATGAAGAGCAGTAGATCGAGTACATCAGTGAGCTGTGTATGTGAGAACAATAAAATACATAGTCTTTCTTTTATAACATCATGCATTGATAAAATTGGAGGCTTAGAGCTCGTGGGATGTTATCATTATTATTTGTTTGGACAATAATGGTCATATCGTTTAAAGTTTATGTGTAGTTGTACTTTTAATTAATAACTTTGTAGTTAGGTCGCGCATGTTTGACAATAGCATTTGAAATAATATACCAAGAGTTGATATGTAGAGTGATATCATACATTCCAATGTCGTGATCAAACACTATTGCTTGAACTCAAGTTTTCTACATTTAAATATATATGCTTTGTTATCCTAAATATCACCTCAACCCCCCCCCCCCCCCCCCCCACACTAACAACAATTTTGCTTAATATAGTAATAGATACAAAATTTATTAATATCATAATGACATAAATAATTCATAATAATGCAAAAAAAAAAACATAATTAAAATATTGAGTATTGTTCTAAATAATCAAAAGAAAATTAATTAAATGAAAAAAAAAAAACTTAACATAGATTTGTTTTAAAAAATACAAGAAAATGATTTCAAGATTTCTTATTTGTAATCTTTGATGCTCAACTTTGAATAATATGTATATAATTTGACTAATTAATTGACTAAAGTTCATGTTAAATTTTATATTGTATTTTTAAATACATTCTAACATTTTTTAGTTCTTGTTATAAGCCTAACTTTATTGTCTTTTTCACACACACACACACACAGACACAAACACACACACACACACACACACACACGAGATCAAATGTGAAGGAGTTCTCAATAATAATAAAAAAAAAAAGATGGTAAAATCTCAGCCATTGATCTAATCAAAATCAACAACTCGGAATGAAGATTTTTTTTTTTTTTTTTAAATGCAATGACATTATGGTAATTATTTTTTTGCATAAGTTCAAAGATTAAGGTGCATAAAGCTTAAGGTGTGTAAGTTTATAGCTTAAAGTACGTAAGTTTATAGCTATACGTGCGTAAGTTTATAGCTTTAGGTGCCTAAGTTTAAAGCTTAAGGTGTGTAAGTTTATAGCTTAAGGTGTGTATGTTTAAAGCTAATTAAGGTGCATCACTTTTTAGTTTAAGGTGCGTCAATTTAACTCTTAAGGTGTATCAATTTCCAGCTTAAGGTGCATGGATTTAACTCTTACGGCGGACAACTTTGATTCATTAGGAATATTGACTTCCATACTCTAAGTGCATAAATTTAAAGCTTAAGGTACATTATTTTCCAGCTTAAGGTGCATAAATTCAAAGTTTAAGGTGCATCCGTTTGAAATTTAAGGTTCATTCATTCAGTACTTAAGGTGCATCACTTCAGTATTTAAGATGCATGAGTTCGAGACTTAATGTGCATAAGTTCGCATACTTAAGGTGCATCAGTTCGAGACTTAAGGTGCATCAATTCGACACGTACATCAGT